CTAAGTAGAGTAGCTGTCTCTTATACACATCTTGGTTGGGCGTCTCTAAAAAACCTTTCGAATGTGGTCCAGGGGAAAATATGACAATGTAGGGGTTTTAAAGGCTTATTTGATTTTAGAGTCTATATGTACAAAATACATATAACTTGGAGGGGGAGGACTCCCCGACGGTGGGGGTTGCTGTAGCCTTGCCTAGCCCCCCCTCCCCCGGTAGCGCCGCCACTGGTGAATCACACCAAGGATAGCCCACTAAGTCCGAAGATTTGTTTCCAGTGGGGTTCGTCTGGTTGTAAATTGGGCAGTAGGTCTACACCGGGAGTCAATCCCCTACTATTTTCCGAGGAAACGTCTCGTCCGAAAGAAGGGTGCGCTATCGAAATATTATTTCAGCCCTCCAGCTGAAACACAAGGAGAGCAACGATGAACCGTCCGTATGGACTAGCTAGCTGTCTCCAGGTTTCAGACCTTGATAAACTATACAAAAAGTTTCCCATTGAAATTTTTTTTAAGTTAGGCTCCGGAGGAAAAAAATTTTGATATGTTGTAGAACTGATTTTTCTAAGACAGAAAAAAGTTGTTTGATGAAAAACTGGGGAACGGTGAATGAGACACAGATTTTTGAATATTTAAAAACTGGGGGAATAAGATGTAAAAATGGGCAGTTACGCCCCTTTTCCCCCAGTTTTTAAATATTCAAAAATCTGTATCTCATTCACCGTTCCCCAGTTTTTCGTCAAACAACTTTTTTCTGTCTTTAGAAAAATCAGTTCTACAACATATCAACATTTTTTTTTCCTCCGGAGCCTGACTTTAGAGATATTTAGGTCTGAGCATGGAGGTATGTTCACTATAATACCTCCATGGTCTGAGACGTCAGAAATTTAAATGACCCTCACATTTGCACCCTCGTAGATGATCTCCTGTCTAGCGTCTACACGATAAAAATCATGGGTTGTACCAGAAGTCACGTGATTAGAACTGACCTAATAAAGGCATATTGCTGCTTGTTTTGAAACCCACTCTGTTAAAATGTATGTACTTGATAAAAACAATTTTCAAATAATGATACTGTATTCACGCTGTTTACCAACAGGTCTAACAACAGCTAATTTGCATAAGATCATGCCGATGATCTCCGCTGCGATGTAAAAATTCGTTTTGCGGTGTTACTTTTACACGGATAAACGCGATCATTGCCAGGCCCGTAGCCAGGGGGGGGTTTTTATGGTTCGGGCGAACCCCCCTTTTCTAGCGAACCCCCCTGTTTTCTAGCGAACCCCCTCGAATTTTTGAATGAGTCCCACCCGTTTTTAAATTGTAGCCTGCATTACAAGCCTACATTCATAGGATATGTCAGCTTCAGAAGTTCGGAGATTTAAATTAAAACGCAATTCCTTTACGATGGCACACATAAGGATGGCAAACATCGATAAAAACACGGCTGCCGTCTCAACTTTCACTGGCCTTTGGCTGAATGCTGTCTCTTATACACATCTAGATGTGTATAAGAGACAGGTGTAATAGATCAGATAACAGGAAATGTAGGCTACAAGTTGCTTTTATGTGTATTAAACCACATAATATTCAAATTAGTTAGTAGCGAGAAACGTCTCGTCCGAAAGACGGGTGCGCTATCGAAATATTATTTCAGCCCTCCAGTGAAACACAAGGAGAGCAACGATGAACCGTCCGTATGGACTAGCTAGATGTCTCCAAGTTTCAGACCTTGATAAACTATACAAAAAGTATCCCATTGAAATTTTTTTAGAGATATTTAGGTCTGAGCATGGAGGTATGTTCACTATAATACCTCCATGGTCTGAGACGTCAGAAATTTAAATGACCCTCACATTTGCACCCTCGTAGATGATCTCCTGTCTGGCGTCTACACGATAAAAATCATGGGTTGTACCAGAAGTCACGTGATTAGAACTGACCTAATAAAGGCATATTGCTGCTTGTTTTGAAACCCACTCTGTTAAAAATGTATGTACTTGATAAAAACAATTTTCAAATAATGATACTGTATTCACGCTGTTTACCAACAGGACTAACAACAGCTAATTTGCATAAGATCATGCCGATGATCTCTGTTAACACCGCTGCGATGTAAAAATTCGTTTTGCGCTGTTACTTTTACACGGATAAACGCGATCATCGCGGTGATCTCCTGCCGTGAAAACAAAGCAACTCTACAGGGTGAATTGTAATTATATCATATAATTGTATTCCGGAAAGGAAATGTCAAGGTTAACTTAGAAATACTGTAATTAAATAACTAAAGAGTGCACAATAAGTGTGAATGTTGAAAGACCGGAAACAGATATCCTTGAGTATGACATGGTTTATTGAGTTAAGAAAAATAAGTCCCAGATAAAATAAAAACCGTTTTAAATTGTTCACAGACGTTCCACTACGAAAACCATTAAACTGCTAGCAATTTAAGGGTGCATAGAATGGTAATTATTTAAACGTTTGTTAAATTGGCGGGAATATCAATTCTCGTTCCATTTTCACCATTGAAAGCTAATAAAATTAAAATATACAATTCATTATTTAATTTTATTTTCAAGTTGTTATTATATTTAGGGTCAGTGTAGCTTTTATTTAATTTTATTTTATTCAGTTCGAAACCAACAGCAATAAAAACCGCCACTAACAGGTTGAATGAAAACGTGATAAAACATATGTGATAATTTGAACTATAATGTTAAAAATTGAAAAATATATTTAACAATTTTACTTTTAAAAAACATTTAAACTATGATAAAATAGATCGATATTAACAAGTAGCAATATTCACTGTATGGAGTTACATTCTGGTATTAAGTATATAAAGAGTCAAGAAGTTGGTGGACTAACTACGAATTATAAGGGCTACGTCTACTTGCGGTCCCCGACCGGGGGAGAGAGGGGTGTCTGATGTCCCCGACGAGAAAAAAGTAGGCGTGGTTGTGCGTCGCTAAAAACCTTTCGAAAGTGGTCCAGGGAACGTAGCCCCCGAAAATATGGCAATTTAGGGGTTTCAAAGGTTTATTTAATCGATTTTAGAGTCTATTAATATGTACAAAATACATATAATTTTTTTTTACATTTTTTGTTCTCCCTGACGAATTGTGTTTTATTTCTCGACGGGGGTGGGGTGGGGGTGGGGGGGGGGCTGTAGCCCTGCCTAGCCACCCTCCCCCGTAGCGCCGCCACTGATAAAACACATTTTATAAGAACACTGAGGCTAAAATTGCATAAAAATTAAGAACAAATTGAGGCTAAGGTAAATGTCAAATAAGGTTTTTATTTAAAAAAAAGAAAAGAAAATAGAACACCAACAAATCTTATCTGTACCTTATTTGCAGAAGGTGAGACTATAACCCTCTATATATACAGTACAGAATACTGCTCTTCATCATTAATTTTCCATGTTTGAAAAATGTGTAAAAAAAAAAAAATTACATTTTGAACCTGAAATCGGCCAAAAGAAGAACACTGAGCCTGAGAAAAATTTTACTAGTTCTTATCCATCGCTTTGTCCAGGTGGTACCTGGCACATTTTAGTATCCGGGAGCTGCAATTCCGGGTTACGCTGCAACATGCTTGCATCACCCTGACCTTTTCTTTACCTTCGGCCCTGGGAAAGGTAGTTAGATTTCACACCACCTCATGCGGGCATCCTTTGCAGTACCATCCAGTACTTCGACGGAAACAGATAGGAAAGAGGACAGAACAATCGTATTTATGAAAAGCTAATTGTGAGGAGTTGAATCTCAACTTCTAAAGAAGTTGTCACGATGTGGTCCTGGATGACAACTAGATTGCTAGCTGTTGTACTTATCTTGAAATATAATGCCGATGGTAAGTAATTTTCAAATTGTTTTCTGTTTTTGAAAGTCGTAAGACATCCCCGGATTTTTCGATTTTTATTGTTCCAGTTTCATTAATACCTTTGTATCCGAGGCCTAAATTCAGTGTCTCCATGGCCCTAAATAGTAATACAGATCATCAAACTCATAACGTATAACTTCTTTGGTACATAGAATGTTTTTATTCAAATACGACATCGTACTTAAAATATCGAATATATATATTAAAATCAAGTTGCTGCCTACCACTGGGAACACAAATAAATAATGTAGGCCCCTATAAATATAGTGCACAATATATAGGAACATGATAGTATAAATCTTATCAAACATATGATTAAATGCAAAGACGATGGAACGATTTATTCAGAGCATGGACACTTCGACCCGAGGAATAATAATCCCTATTTAGCCCCATAAATATTTGTTCAACCGTTCTTGTATAAGATAATTTTTGCTTTGGTTTTAATTCCCAGCTTTGTATAATCAAATGAGTTTGATTGCTGAATAAACATCCTTACTTTCTAACATATACATTGTTGTACTGATTGTATGCAGTACCGTAGCTATAGTATAGGCTACCCGTCACACACACGCACACGCATATATAGGCCTATATATACATACATATATATATATATTATATATATATGTATATATATAAGTCGTTGAAACAAAAAAATTGTGACAACAAGGCATGTAGACTGTAGAACACTTCATTTATTGTCGAAAGAAATTTTCGGCCAGTCCTCTGGCCTTCATCAGCTTTACATATGTATATATATACATCAGCGCTTGAGTATCTATGGACACTCAAGCGCTGACGAAGGTAACAGGATTTGCCGAAAATTTCGCTAATAAATATTTCTATGTTTCCTACAAGTCAAAGTCTGTCTCTTATACACATCTAGATGTGTATAAGAGACAGATAATCTACGTCTCCGACTGAATGATTTATACCTATATATATATATTTACATATATATATATAGATGTAATAGTGTGTTTTATTTAATATTTTAGTATTCATTTTATATTATAGTCTGTAATTACAGATTATTTTTATTATAGGTTGTTTTTCCCATAGTCATGGAGTGGTAAACCCGTTACACGACTCAGTGCGTTACGTAATACCCCATAATAGCAAGATAGTGCCTTGCTTAACCCTGTGAAAATCATTATGCAAACCATTTCTACGCTAGGGGCGATAGTACCTCTTCCAACCACATTCATTACCTTATTTGGTAATGGTGAGGTGCAGAGGGTCCCGGTTGGAAGGTGTACGGTAAAAATGATCCCGGTGAAAATTCCCCCGGTAAAAATGACCCCGGTAAAAATAGACCTGGTAAAAATGGCCCCGGTAAAAATGGCCCCAAATGACAGGTAGGTAAAAATGGCCCCCAATAAAAAAAAGTCTGTATTAAAACTGAATTTTTTTTAGTCATTGTATGCATTTTTTTTTAAACTGAAATAATTTAGTTTTAAAAAAGAATCTAACATCAAATAAATTGCCATTTATATTTTACTTTTTGCAGGAATTACATATTCAAAGATAAAAAAATAATCCATGAATAACACTTTTTATTTTTTTCCATTTAAATTTTTAAAAATAGTAACAATTTAATCAATAAATCAACATAAATCATGCATTTATTAATACTAAAATAATTTATTTGTGGCCAATTTCAAGGAAGCGGAATCACAATCAGAAATTCAATCCGGGTATTGCTAAACCCCGCAAAAATGGGTTGATATGAACATCAAATTATTATTTTCTTTTTTAAAGAGAGTTTTTTAAAGAAAAAAAGTTATAGCCATTAGTTTCTGAGTCAGTAGTAGGTACTTGGATTTAGTTGGCAGGGAGTAAAAACCAAGTATGCAAATTAATTAAGTTGCCTAAATAAATGTATTCCTAATTATTCAGTTTACTAAAAACAATATTTGAACAAATACTTCTTTGAGATAAAACTCTAAGCAGGACATTTATTGCTAAGTTTGTGAGAAAGTAATTCTCCCTTTTCCCATACATAAACTTGTGATTTAAACACACAATTGATCCACATGCTTTAACTACTGTTTATTTGCATTATTTATACACATGTAAAGTTATCTCATTTGATACTTGACAAAAGTGAATTTTGAGGTTATCTATGGGTTGCATATTTTAGTATTTTGAAGTATGTATGTATGTCATTCCGCTACTTTATTAGTGGAATAACGTTTTTAAAACTTTTATTTCTACATATCAAAAAATGTTATTCATGGCCATTGCTTTCCGATAATCTCTCAGTACAGTATTTGCATCTGTTAATTGTGTAACTGTACGGTATTTGTACTACTATTACTGAATTTTTTCGTTGGGCCATTTTTACCTACTTTGTCATTTGGGGCCATTTTTACCAGGGCCATTATTACAGGGGCCATTTTTACTGGGGCCATTTTCCCTACATTCCGGTTGAAAGTATAAAAGTGGCTTTAGGGGTGTTAACCAGGACTAAGAACAAATAAGAATGAACTTATCTCATGATTAATTAAAAGATAGACGATAGAATTTATTAAGTCGCAAACAAGGAGGAGCCTATTCTTCTATAAGATACCAGGAACTTTGTTGCTAGAGAGTTGAATTCTGGAGTGAAAGAAATCGAATCAAAAAGTCCAGTGAGAGAAAAGCGGTACCTCAGCCCGAAGGCCGTGGCTCTGGGCATGTGGCCAGAGTACCACTACCAACCTAATGATAAACTAACTTAGATGGGGCAAAGTCTACACCGTACAGCTCTGCTCGTGCTGACTCAATGGAGATCGGGTAGGTTTCTGTCCCAGTCGAAATTTAAGTTTAGTTGGCTAAAGTAAGCAGTGAGCATATTTTAATTTTACAAGTTTCGAGATTTATGCATATAGGAACACTCAGGCCCATGTCTGCTCGACATTGGATGGTTCATGTGTGTTACCTCATCATATTGATGGACGATTTGATTTTTGAATTGAGTGAGTGCATGTAGGTAAATGGAATCTTTTTATTTAGCAATTCCCTCTTTTCCAATTCGCTACTATTTTATAACTTTGTTTTGAACCAGTGGCGGATGCAGCGGGGGGCCATGAGGGCCCGTGCCCCCCCCCCCAACCCCCACCGTCAGTCAAGCCGGAAATTAAAAAAAAGGAAGAAAATTTTTAGTTGAAGAGAGGAAAGAGAAAAAAGGGGGTGCACCTATGAGTTCAGTGGTGATTCAGCAAGAGAGTTCGATTATTTACCACTTATTTACACCAGCCATGGTGGGGCTGAGGCGGGCGTGGCGACGTGAACTTCATTTGTGCCCCCCCCCCCCCCCCCCAAATCT